ACACAATGTGTATCCCTATTATACACCTGTAATGGGTAATCATAGTCCACATTTGATCAGTCAAAAATATGTGCCGGTATAGTAGGTGACTTACAAATTTTACCCTGAAATATTATGGTTACACATATTTTTCTGTATTTATCGCTTTCTTTATAAATGTGATCATTATTTTAACCAATTACCTTAATCAAATAAAAATAAAGGTGAGGATGTATACTATGTCCTGTTATCTTAATTAGTTATAACCTTTCAAGTCGCACTCTGTGATTTTTAAACATATTTATCTACAATAGCCAATTATATTAATTAAAATGTACATTAAAATATCAGAGTATTGAAATTTTAGTCACGTTTTATGAAAAGATGTCTGTATCGAACACAAGTTTTGTCGTGTGTCTGTGTTTGTGTGCGAGAGAAATGATTTTAAAATGTCAAATATTTTTTGAATTAATAGAAAATTTAGCAGTCTAAACATCATAAGGTTTTCAAACCTTATGAAACCATGGAGCTCTCTTATTTCATTCCTTCCGCCGTGGAACCCTAACCCTTAAAGCCTATCTTAGATGTAAGTGACCAAGTTCGTAACACTATTGTTTACGTAAAATTGTAAATAAATATATAAAAATACTTATGCTGAATATCAACTGACTCATGATTTTTTAAAAAATATATTTGGTCCCTGACGGGTTAACACTCAATAATTAAGAACAAAACAAAACATCATTATCTGTTATCTTTGTGAAGAATCTATGATGACCTTTCTCGTAACTTGGGGTTCCACAGAACGTAATTTAAAAACCACACTCACAGACCATTGTTCTGCACAGGGCTGTGACTAATTATGAGGATACCGGGGTCGTATGCTCGTTTGTTGTTTGGCTTCCAAAATCCTTGATGTAGAACATTAATAAAATAGAGGATTATTCGTCTCGGCCGGACTTGCAACGGGTGTTAAATTTATAAACAACGAGTTTGTCAGAACTTGACTGAATTCATTGTTTGATGGATTTATTATATGAGCACGAACACATGTTAGTATAGAGTTACACACACATATATATAAGCCTAAATACGTAAATATAATAGTTATACCTTAGCCGGTTGAGGATCTATAAATGCTCTTCAGCATACACAATGAAACC